GCTCTCCCTGCATAGGCCTCAATAGCCTGTCCCCACTGAGTCAGTTTTCACCTCTCTCCCTTGGCAATGACCAACAGAGGGGCAGCCACACTCCCTTCTGATGCCCAAGAGGGTGTTCGCCCTCCGCCCCCTGGACCAGCATCCCTTCTCCGAGGCTTTCCTGACAGGCATAATAACCTTTTCACTCAGCTCAAACAAATCTGCTGGTCCCCTCCCCTACACCTCAGTGGCCTCTGGGATGCCATGCTTCTCCCCCTCCATCAGCATGACACCCACACCTCGGCAGCTCCCAGCACTCAAGAGGAAGCTCCCTGTGTGCCAAGATTATTCTGTTTTAGATCCTGCCCTTCTAATGCCTTCTGGTGAGGATCAACCTGAAAGCAGACCTTATAGCTCCTGCACGATCTTTGGAGCTTCCAGCACTTTCTTCCTGTCTTTTCCCACCAGGGCTGAACGGGTTTGTCTGAGGTGGAGAGGGCTCTCTGGACAGAAACCTACTCTCCTGTTTGTACCCCAAGTCCCTCTAGAGATGGTGTCTGGATCCCAGAATCAGGAATCATGGTCTATTCCTCTCCTACCATCTCCCCCTCCCACCCCCCATGGCAAATGGCAGCTTCTCATCTCAATGTACAAATGTCAGAGGTTATGGGAGAGAAAAATGAAACATTGTGGTTTGCGTCTCAAGTTATGAGTCTGCTGTGTGCAAACAGGAGTGCAAATGGGTTAAGTGGTTTCTGGGCAACAATTACACTTACAGACACTTTAGAGACAAAGAGGACTTGTTCCAAAGGCAAGGCTTTCAAGTAGGCACTGTGGGGTTGTTACACCATCCAACTGGAGCCTTTAGGGTCAGGGGCACAGGGTGTTTGGAGAAGACTTGGGGGGAAGTCTGCAGTACCTCGGAAAATGCCCTGTGAGGGAAGATGAGAAGTAGTAAGTGAATTTCAGGCCATTATTATCAGGAATAGTTTTCTGGTCCCAGCGCCTGCCTTATGACCCCACTTCGCTGAAACTCAAGCAGGACTTCCTCCTCCAGCGTGACCTTAAATAGATGGGTGCACGGTGTTGGGTGGAAGAAACCCAGGTAGCAGGGAATGCTGAGAGCAACACAACCGGCCCCACCTGCCAGGACCAGGGTCACATGTCAGGAATGCCAGGACACGCTCACCATGACATCCAGATTTCTGAGCACTCCTACACACCTTCTCCTGGATAAGGACACTCACCTTGACCAAAGTCCAGTCAGCTTCCTGGAACTTCTCTACCAGCTCCTGACTTTTGGTCTGCCCTGTTTGTCTGCACTGTCCAGTTTTAGCAAGACTCCTGCTGAGTTAGTTTAGCAAAAATCCCCACCCTCAATACCTGCTCACCCTCCATCCCTGATTGGGTTCCTTCTCCTGCGCTGTGCCTTGATCTCTCACATGCTTTAGGGTTGTTTTTGAGCCAACAGAAAAGAAACCCCCAGCTCTGATTCCCCTATACCATAACTAACTCTGCTGTAAAGGCTTTTGTGTTCAAAAACCTTGAGATAGTTTTCCATTTTATTTCCCATAAATATTAAAGGAGAGAAAACATGCATCCTTCATGCGTTGGATGGGTTTAAAATATATGCTGCCAATCAAAAAGAAAATAATAACTGCAGTAGATTGAGCTCTTCAGATATGTTATAATTCATGAGTTGCCCAACGATTTCAAAACAAAAATGACAATGATGGAAATCATTGTGGGATCTTTAGAGATTTTGAGAAAACTAGGAGATAAAGGGACAGGACAAAGCATTTATCCCGCTGCCCCCACATGAGCTGTACTTCATGACATGCCAGTGCGAGGTGTGCTGTCTCTCAGCTCCCAGGGCACTCTTCCTGGCTCTCTGCCATGACATTGGAGTGGGGCCCTGCAAACATTTCCTGGTGCCTCCCAGCACAGGGGAATAAGAAACAATGAAATATAAGGGCGCCTGATGTGACCGGATAGGAAATAGAGCACCCAGTGACTATGTTTCCACCAAGTTCATTCTCAAACTGACCCGAGAGTCTGATATAATCACTAGCTTATTAAAAAAAAAAAAAAACTTGAGATAAAAGAAACCAAGAGAATACAATAGCTACATCCAAAATCCGTGAGATTTTATAGGACAAATGAGGAATTTTTTCGACAAATAAATAGCAAATAAAAAAACAGTTGGGACATGGAAGGGAGAGGGCCGAAGCCCACAGATTTTTCGAAACTTAATGAATAGCACCAAAAACTCTGTGTACCTTGTTTGGGTCCTAATTCAGATAAAATAAATATTTATGAGAGCATCAGGTCTTTATGCTGACTCAATACTAGATGGTGCTAAGGAATTTTAGATAGGATCATGTAATCTGTGTATATTTTTGAAAGAGTTCTTATCTTTTGGAGAGATGTATTTACATACTTTGGGATCAAATGATATAAAATCTCGGGATTGTTTTAAAAAATATTCTAGCAAAGGGTGGCGTAGTGGAAATACAGATACAAGTGCAATTGATCTCATTAATGGGGAAGCTGGGTGATGGGTACATGGAGGTTCGTTATAAATATATTCATTATATTCAAGCACACTTTAATATGTGTTTGAACATGTCATCATAAAAAGTTTAATGAAATAAAATATATGCTACCCCAAGTGGCACATTATCTGCATATTAATAATAACCAAATTCATATCTTATATTGCATTTTACAGAGCACTTTTCATACATAATTTAACGTAATCCTAACCTCAGGCCTACAAGATTGGTTTTATTATCTTCATTTCATAAGGAACAATCTCAGAGTGCCTGGGCACTGGCTCAGAGGCCCGGAGCTAGCAGGAAGCAGAAATGCAATTCAGGCTCAACTAATTCATCCTAAATCCTACACTCCACCTGGTGAGACAGAAGGAAAGCCTGGTGATCCTGGTGAAGTCACTTCATTTCTCCACCCTAGAAAAGGGGAACAATAACACCTAACGTGTCTTCTTTGTTGTTGGGAAATTCAAGTCTGATAATTTCTGGAAAAGTGCCGTGTAAATGGTAAAGTGCCTTGTGAATCCAGATGGTCATAGACGGCTTTGTGACAGGACTCTCTGCCCGGTCTTGGCCTGCTGGGCTGGTTTTGCACAACGCAAAGTTGAGCAAAGCCAAGAACCCCCCATAGTCCCTTTCTCTACCTCTCTTCATGTTCCAACACCCATCTCTGACACCGATATTAACTAATAACTTAAGCGGTTTCTTCCTTGTGGCTCACGTGACTGCTTGCTTTGCCACTGCTGTGCTGCGCTGTTACGTAGCTTGGGGAGCAGGGAGACCCAGAGCAGCTGTTTGTAACTGAAAGTTTTATGGCTTGTTTTTAGACTAGTGAAATGAGTAGGAAACTGCATGGTGTTTTCTGCTGTTGTCCAGAATTCTCTGTTAGATTATTTGCACCAAGTCATCCGCACCCATGAATTTCCATCTACCAGCATTGGAAAACAAATGAGACACTTCTGATTTCCCCAGGAGGGAAAAAAAAAAAAAATGAAGTAGCAGAGATAAAATGGCCGACATTAAATAACAACAACAGCAGAAACAAAAAACAAAAACAAAACCTCTTTGGGGGCTGGGGAGACATCTAACAGCCACATCTTTGTGGCGGCATCCAAACAACCACTTCAAAACACCTTGCCCCAAGAGGCATTCACTTAGTTCTGCCAGGGTTATTTTTAAATACTAAAACGTGTACTTAAACATCATATCGATGTTGCTTTAAATATATAAGCTATTTCATTTGCGATCATTTCTTTCATAGTGATAGTTTTAGCCACCCATAAGTTAGGAAGGCGCTTTTCCTGTCTCTTGATTTTCTCAGCCATTAAGTAAGGAACAAGAGTATTATCTCGTGTTAAAAATTAAATGATTATAAGTGTGAAAGTACGTTGTGCTTTGCTCAGGGCCTGGTTCAAAGGAGGTACTAGATGTTAGCATCTTTTTGAATATAGTTAGTTATATCTTAAGTGGGCATTTAAGTCTGTAGTTGCCATAGGCACTGAAAATAAGGAGGCGTCCGTAGACATGGCAGGACCAGTATGTGGGTGCCTGGCAGCAATGGGACCCTAAAACACAGGGCAAAACAGGGTTGGAAACCAATTTAGTTTATTATTTTTATATATTACATACATGTGTGTATATGTATATATATATATTTTTAAATATTTATTTATTTATGCATACAAGAACTAGGGTACAGGCCAAAGGTGTGGGGGGTGAGAGGATTCACCAGAGACAGAGTGGGGAACAGAACAGGTGGATCTGCTGAAATACACTGCTGAGGGGAGCAGCCAGGAGACAGGAGAGGTCTGCTGCGCCATGTGGGTCAGCTCCCTGCCTGGGGATTGAATCATGCTGCAGTGGCTGCAGATAGCTTCATACTGCTGCGTCTTAACCCCTTGTGCCACCAGGGATGCCCCTATATATATATATTTATTTTTTTTAACTGAAGTAATACTGTATCATAACAGCATGCAAGTTTCAGGTGTCCATCATTAAAGATGAATGTCTATTCTACACTGAGTTCACACGCAAAGTCGAGCCCCACCTTCACCTTTGACCCTTTTAACCTGAAGCTGCCTCTGGCAGCCATAAGTGGTCTTACAGTCTAAACATTTGTTTTTGTTTTATTTAGGTCATTTGCTTGTTTTGTTTCTGTATGCACCACATGAGTGAACCCCGGGGCTGAGCCATAAGGCTATTCACACCACTCCCCCACCGACCCCACATCCAGCGCACACACTTTTCTGAATGTTTGAAAGCTGTTACAATAAAATGTTGGGAAATACAGTTAAATATAAAATCTGACGGCTTCCCTGAGCTGCCCTGGCCAGGAGCAGCCTCAGCGGAGTGAAAGGAAACCAAGTGTGCGGCTCCAGCAGCCCCAGCAGCAGGCGGGGAAGCCTCGGGGAGGGCGCAGCAGGGAGTAGCCTGGGCTGTCGGAAGCGCCTCTTCTGGCCCTGGCCAGCTCTGTGCGCAGCTCCTGCAGCCTGGAAAGTTTGCATCACTTGCAACATCTGCACAGGACTTCTCCCACCAGACCAGCCATGATCATTTCCAGTTCTGCTTCCAGTCGGCCTCAGGGAGCAGCGCCACAAACAATTACTCTGCATTCAAATGGAAAGTCAGTGCTAGGGTTTCAGCAAGAACTTCTGGAGCTTGGGAAAGAGCCCTCCTCACTCTTGGAAGGCTGAAATGGGACCATTTCAGAACTGCTTTAAAAGTGCGACTCTGAAAATAGTGTGGGGGTGAGTCCTCGGAACTCCTGTGTCTTGCTTAGACTTAGTGGCTTGCTCAGGACGTAGGTTAGGAGAGGATGCGTGGGGTGCTGTCACAGAGTTGGGGGAGCAGGTCACAATTCACCTTATGAGTCCCTTAAAATTTAATCCCCGGTGACTGTCCATGCATACCTTAACTCTGGACATCGTTTTAAATATTTTAAATATTATTGATGCCAATAATTATTAATTATTTTATTTTAATATTTATTTTAATATTATTGAAGCCAATAACCATCCGTTGATCACCTGCTGTCACCATGTAGATATTTTAAAGTACAGCAGCTAGTGCTTTTCCTATAATGCGTGAATTCTGTACCTCCAGGAATATGTCATATCTGAGCCTTTGCAAGTGCGACCTCTTCACTTGTTCATCTCTGGGACAATTATGATCATTTTCACAGTCATCCAATTTTCCAATCAGAGGCAAAGGTGAGACTCTACCTGTAGCTCATTAGGATCATCATTATTCTCCAGTTATGTTGTTGTAGAGATAAATTCCAGCCTTTCACCCAGGCAGAGGAAGAACAAGCAGTACCTCAGGAATGGTGAGGTCAGGAGAAGCTTTATTACTCATGCATGAGGTCCCAGACCTGGGGAGCCCCATAAGGTCTGAGCACCCTTTTAAAGACCAAGGGTTCCTTTTACACACAACTGTGTCCATATCTGTTACATGGATAGCATCGTTTTCCAGCAGGCACCCCCATTTGCGGCAAAGTCCCCAGACAAGGAGGGAAAGGCAAGTGGAGAAAGATGCAGGCATTCGGGGATGGCCTCAGAGAGAGAGACCACTTGGCCTTGGCCGGCTGCCCGACCTTGTAGATAAGAGTGCTGAGGCCCTGGCCATGAATCTTGAAAGGGAAGGTGCCGTAAGTAAGCAAACTTGTTGATGATGCCTGCGTTGGAGTGTTCATTGCACCTGGGCTGGGATTTCTGCCGGAATCTTTATTATATTCATTTGCTCAATAATGTATTTTCTCATCAATATGATCTGAGTGATAGATTTTTTTTTTTTTTTAGTTTCTAAAGTGAAAATGCCAATGGCTTGAAAGGATGTTAATTGAGAACTAAAGTCCACCTCCCCTCAACATCCCCAGTCTTTCTTCCCAGGGGTCACTCTGATAACAGATTTTTATATTGACTTCTAGGAAAGTTTACACACGCACCTGCATGATCCAGAGGTTGGCAGGACACTTTATCTGCATACATGACTCTTTTGTGTTTGCCATGAAACTCAGCCCCTTGACCAGCACTTACCAAAACTCCAGTCTACCAAATACATGCTCATTTTGAAAGTATTGTTGGAAATCAATGAGTCTGGGGAGAAGACCCACAGGGCCCAGCTTTAGCATCTCTCTCTCCAACAAAGCTCAAGTATGTTCAACACGTTCAACATGTCCACAGTCTTCTCACCCATTCTGGACACTCTCTGAACCTTCCTTGCGCTTCGAGCTGTAAAGTCAGCCCCCTCAGTTGCTGGGACAATAAGGTCAGAAGACGGAGCATGTAAAAGTCAAATGCAATCAAGATGCAGGCAGATGTTAGTGCCGCCAGCCGGCAGTGGGCCACACAGTAAGGTCAGTATTACCTTCCCCCAGTGCACATCTGCATGGCGATGGACTCCTGCTCTACTCCGAGGCCCATCCCGATGGAGAGGGGCAGGCGGGAGCTACGCAAGGGGGGTGCCCTTGGGGTGAAGAAGAGCAGGAGAAAATGGAGAGTGCAGAGGGAGGTGCTGAGCTACTGGCCAGGCCAGTTTCTCCCGAGCTTGACCCACTTGTCCAGCGTTGTCCCAAATTAGGCCAAGATATTCGGATCTTGGGCCTCCCCGGTGGCGCAGCAGTTGAGCGCTGGGTTGCGAAGCTGCCCGCAGCTTCTGCGGCACCGGTTCGATCCCCGGCTGTTCCCCGGCCACCGGAGGAGGGTCCCACATGGCACGCAGACCTCTCCTGCCACCCGCTGCTCCCCTCAGCAGTGTACTTTGGTCCTTCTGCCTGCTCTGCTCCCCGCTCTGGCTCTGGTGAGTTCTCTCACCCTCTCATGCTTCTGACTGTACCCAGTGCTTGTATAAACAAACAAACAAACAAACAAATAAATAAAACATGCCTCTATAAAAAAAAAAAAAAGATATTCGGATCCTCATATCTCTGCGTCAGTCAGGGGTAGACCAGGGGCCAGGTAGCTCTCTGAAGCTGAGGCAACCCCTGCAGAGACTCACAACTGAAGACTTTCCATGGACGGAGACATGAACGCTGCGGGACAGAGCCCACGTACAGAGGGTCCTTGCCAGAGCAGCTGCACGCCCGGAGCACACAAGGAGCACAAGCCAAGGTTGCTGGGCTTGGCTTCTCCCAGAGGCTGCCCATGGGACTGCGGTATGAAGGCCAGTTGCTCACTTGGGACTGTGAAAGCGCGATGGGAAAGGAAAGTCAAAGTAGAGTGTTTTAGTGAACAGGATGATGTGGGCAGACTCTATGAGACAAAATAGAACATGCCCCAGAGGGGCCCACGCTGAGCTCAGAGAAGGTGGTGTTTATCCAGCAGATGCTGTGGGTCGACACTCAAGGCCTCTCCTGGAGGCAGTCACGTCCTGGCAGTTCCACCTGTTCACTTCCAGGAGAAGCCTCTGGTAGGAACAGAAACATGAGTACCCAGAAGTGGGTAGTGCACTGTCTGCCATGGCTGGGGCAGGCAGCCTGGACAACCTCTCAGGAATGTGAAGTTGCATCAACCCAGAAGCGACTCACAGGTCCATGGATATAGCCAGCTGCACCGCCTGCCCGTGACGTGCTGGGAGGAGTCAGTCTCGCACCCAGGGAGGAAAGAAGTGGAGGTGCTGGAGATTGCTGCGCCCTCATAAAGTCTGCCACACCCACTCCTGCCTACCAGCAGTGCATGATTGAGAAACTGCTTTGTCATCCTGAGTCTCCATTTACTATTCTGTAGCGTGGGAGAATAACATGTATTCACAAGAGTGTGAAAAGTGGAATTAGTGCACACACCCGGACCCACTACAATGCACCAGTACTGACTCCCTGGTTCTGATATTGAATCTAAACATGAATCACATGGTAGGTCCATTTTACTCATTTTATTGTTATATTATGTTATCAATATGTGTGATCAAATACAACCTTAAGACTCACTTGACATCGTGTCATGTTGAAATTCTAATTTCAAGTAGCTTTGTCTACTTACCTATTTCTAAATAGTCTATCCCAGATTCTAGTACCTAGTAGACACTCGTGAATGGGTAACAATTTCTACTGGGAACTACTGATAATCAGTCTCAGTAATCATAGGCAAAAAAAAAAAAAAAAAGGATCTGGAATGGCTCTCAGTTTTCCAGATAAATAATTGGCTCAAGGACCTTCTTGGGGAGCAGAGCAGACTGCCTGGTGACCGGCCATGTAAACACAAGTCATGGCAATTTACTAACAGCAAGACTGATTTCCTGCTGTGCTTCTAGCCCGGGCTGCAGAGCTGCACACACAGGGGAAGGGGTCAAATACGCTCATGTGGAACCAGCTTTCCTTTCCACTAACTTCTGAGCTATTAGACGCTTGCTTGTTGTAATGTCGTAAAAATGAGACGTGGAAATTCCTCCCTTGCCATGAGCTAGACAAAGCTTTTGAGATGCAAACCATAGACACTCTCCTAGGAGAGGACTGAACCACAAGAGGGAAGTCACTTTCAAAGAACCACCCCCCTGCCTTTCCCCTCTATACACATGCTAAGCACACAGAGCTTTTGCAATCTGCTACGAAAACAGAATTTTAAAATAAACCCTAGCCTGCTCTCTCAAATCAGAATGTAAAGGATGATGAATTTCTATAAGCTGAATTTGTTCTCCCAAATTAGTTTCATTCTTTGTTTCTCTCACTCTGGCTCACTCTTTCTCATACACACCCACGCACACACACACACACACACGTGTGCGCGTGCACACACGCATGTTCACAGAATACGGCACTCATAGGCCAGGTATGGAAAGAGCAGGTCACCCTCACTGACAGAGACATTTGATAATTATGTGGACAGGCTGCATGAAAATAAAACTCACAGGAGCCAGCAGATGGCACTTAATCATAATTTTTCCTATGATTTCTATTAATTGCTAAATATTCTTCATTCTGTCTCCCCAATGAGACAAATGATGTGTTAATATGGCAAAGTAAGTAATGTTTTCCCTTTGAAATATTAAGGAGGCTTGTTACATAAAATTTCGCCACCTACCTAACTAGACAAGACCCTCTTGCTCATGCATGGATTTATCACACGGCAGTATGCATATGTATGCCCCTGCATCTGTGGGCTTCCGAGCAGCAGCCCTGCGGAGAAATGCATGAAGTAAGAGCTAACACCTTCTTTTATTGCAGGAGCAAATCCAAATCAAGAAACTGTTGTTCCTGAAACAGTCACATAAAACCATTTAAACCACATTGTCTGCCAGAAATAGAAATGTAGAAATGCCTCGGGGAGCCCATTTTGGCAGTTTCCTTCAAGGCTCCTATTACAAGCATTAGTCTGCTCTCTAATCCCCCGTCTTTATTCTGCTTCTCCTGTTTTCCTTCATCTCCCCTACTCCCTTTTCAGCACTGGAGTCAGTCCCCTGTTTCTTGGAGGGACAGATGCTGTAGCAGTCAGGGGTCTTGGTTTCTGACACCAGAAATTGACTCTGTTAAGCAGAAAAAAAAAAAAAATATTGGAAAGCCATCAAGTAGTTCACAGAATCGACAGGAAGCCTGGAGACTCTGGCTTGGCCGACAGGCACCAAAGGAGACGGGCACTCGGGAAGACTGTGGAGGTCATGCCCTGAAAGCGTCTCATGTGGAACCAGGTCACCAGCCTCACAGCCACGGTGACGAACAGCTGGCACGCTGGGTAGGCGCACGCTCTCAGCGAGGGCTGCCCACTCCCTCAGCTTCCTGGTGCAGGCGGGCAAGCCCAATGCCAAGGCTGGCAGAGTGGCCTCCTGAGCTGTGGTTCTGGCTCACAGCAAAGGACGTGGCAGCGCAGAGCCAGTTCGGAGTAGGCTTTCCAGCATGAGGAAAAAGGGGACCTCAAGAAACGCTGGAGGCTAGCAGACACCAGGTGTCCCGGTCACCCCTCATTTTAAACCCACCCTATTTCTGGTGCACGGATGGGGAGCTCTGTACTTCCAGGCTGAGTGGGAATAACTTTGGGAGAAGGAAAGCGGTTGGGCAGTATACAAGTCAATTATGCCAGTTCCAGAAAGAGACTAGAAAGTGAAATTCCACTGAAGTTATAGGCTGTACGGTCTGCTCAGTGGTTTCCTACTTCCTTTGTCCTGGACAAACAAGGAGCCGCAGTTGCTCATGTGAACAGATTCTTCATGTGTCTTCAGATTCTATTTAACCCATTTAAATGCCAGTGTCAAAGCTCTATTCCTTTGACCTCCCACATCTTAACCCTTAATGGAGCTAGAGAACACTTTCTAGGGATGCAATTTGTAACATGATGCCTGGCTGGGTGCAGGGGCCGCTTTGCTCCTCCTGCCAGCTGGTCCCAATTATGAACTGGTTTGGGTAATTTGAGAGTGTGGCGGGTGTCTGTGCAATAGGAGTCTTTTCTAAGCACTTAGCTTCCCTTACGATCCTCAACCGAGCTAGAATTCATGGATCCTTGAATATTCTGAATTACGAGGTGATTGTTGACGGCTTTCCAGAAAAAGGAAATAAAATATATAAATAAAATCACTAGCTGCCAAGGCAGAGTGAAGAATGAAGGCAGCTGTTGTTCGCACAAAGCTCGGATGGCGCCTACGCATCTGGAACGATGGCCTCAGTTTCCCTCCATGTTTTCATGGGGTCGGCCTGTGTTTCCTTGGTGGTGGGTGACACCCAGACAAATCTCTGGGGACGCACCAGCCCAGTCTCAAGGGGCCACACTTGTGTTCATGTTTGTGTGTGGGTTTTTTTTTTTTTTTTTTTGGTTGAATTTTATCGAGCAGCTGTTCCATGAGGCACTGCAGATTCAGGGAATTCACAACTAGAGGAAGCTCATGGTCCAGTTCATGGACCTCAGCCAGCCCGTGGCACCCAAGACGGTGGAGGGTGGAAGAGTCAGCCCTTGGCCGAGAGGAGCATTTGGTCACTGACATTGTTTAGAATTGCCATGGTGCATGGCAATAATACAAACCAGATGGCTTTCAGTTGATTTTATCATTATTATTTAGACTCTCCACAGACTAGCACACCCCATATGACCTGTACCTGGGCTGCCTTCTCCCACTGGCCCACTCACCCTTCTCTTCTGCTTCCAACCAGCCTGCAGTTAAGGCCACCGTCATAGGCACTTGGTGTATGAACAGGGTGAGTATGTGCTCCATCAGCAGATTAATGCCAGTCTCTGTTGCATGGACTTGATCTTTGTGGGCCCGACTGAGTCACTCCGCTCCGCCCCACTCCTTGAGTCTCATGATCAGCGTTTATAAGCCAGCTTCTTTTTTAAAGTTATGATTTCATGTCTGTGGCCCAAGTGTTTTCAGGTGTAGAGTGTGGCTATGCATAACACTTCCTAGAAGACTTGTAGGGATTAAATGAGAGAATGCATGTAAAGCCCAGGGCACTGGTAAGCACTGAATAAATGTTAGCTGATATTTTACCCTTGCTCTATTAGAAGATATTACTATACAGCACTCAATTCCATAAAATCTTGCTGTAACATTTTGTTCAAACTCATTAATTAGAAAAATCATGAGTGAAAAGGGGATAACACAGGAGAGAGACAGAGGTTGGCACCAAGCCAACCAAGTCAGTGCAGATACATGCTGAGGGCCTCTCGCCTAGACTCTGTACCCATACATCTGGGGTGCCCAGAAGATGGAGAGTGTGCCTTGGTTCCTGTCCTTGCTCCAATGTTACCCACATCCAACATCACCCATTAATATTTCCTCCCTGAATTCTTATGCCAGTGAATGCCAAATGGTGGCTTTCTAGTGCCACTATTTTTTCTACATTCATTAGTTGACTTTCTACTATAAGAAATGATTTCCTCACATGTATTTGTTTATTGCTATGACTATATTGGGGTAGACTCATAAGTGCCTACTTTGCTCAGTGAGTCATTATTTATTTGATTCTCAAATAAATATTTATTTGAGCCCAGATTTGGTTAATAGGAACACCTTCAGGATAGTTTCTGTGTCTTTTTGACAAGTCCTCATTGTTCATGGGGAAATTTCTTACATTCTAGTACAGGAAGATGTCCCAAACCCATCTCATTCCTTTCCTGCCCCAGCCCTGGAGTCAGACATTTGTTCAAGGAAACCAAGATTCCTTGGACTAGAGTGGAGAAGGGTATTGGAAACCAAGATCTGAGTATTAAGCATATTCCTTGGGATTTGGGGTGTCATCCTCCTAGTTCTTTCATTCAACAGACCTAGAAAACATGTGTGATACATTGACATTTATACCTCCTTTCATTTCTCTTTTATCTATTGATTATCAATTGTGGAGGTATCATTTAATAAAGTAAAAACTTAGTCTCCAAACTTTGTTCAGCTGAACAATGCTGGGAGACACAGAATAAATAAGGAAGGGGAATGGATAGAGTTGCCATGGGAACCTGGCCCTCCATCCACATTACCAATAGTGGGCTAGCAAGAATCTGGACACAGAACCAGGAGGACCCTCCTGTATGAAGGCCCACCTACACCTGATATCCCAGCAGAGAGCAACCAACAGAGACCGAGTCCCCAGTCATGAAAATCCCACCAAAACAGCTTACAAAAGGGAGCCCCAAATCCTGCTAAGCGTGCAAACTTCTCCCACCTCACCCACTGCTTCTCTTAGCAGTGTATTTCAATAAATCTACCTTGTCTGTTCTCCACCCGTGCCTTCAGCCTCACCCTGATATTTTTCCCCACTCCATCATTATCTATCTATCTATCTATCTATCTATCTATCTATCTATCTATCTATCTATAATAAATATTTTTCATAGACTGGAAGAAAAGGGAAGAGAATGAAATGAGAAGTAAGAGTGGAGTTACCTTTTGATTTGCATTTTAGAAACTAAATGACAGATTTATTAGGAAAGACTACACTTCAGGAGCAGCCAGATGGCAGACAAGCATAGGGCAAGGTGCAGGGAAGGGGCTCAGGCACCCACCCTCTGCAGACACAACGCTACCCCTGCATTTCCAAGTGTTCACAGCTCAGAAGCTTTCCAAGCATGACATCCATTTTAAAAGAACACTTTGGCAGATTCGCAGATACAGAATGGAAGGGGAACAAGAGTGGCTTCTCTGCTTTCTCATCTTGGCATCTCTAGCGCTGTTAGCAGGCACTCTATAAATGTTTAGAGAAGGAAGGAAAGGTGGGGGAGGAGCACGAGGAGGGAGGCCCAGGGGCTTCCCCAGAGGGATGCACCATAGATTAAGCCGGTGTTTTTCTTTTCTGCGTTGGGAGTTGCTTCACTGTAGTCAAGGACAGAAATCACATGGAAGGGCGTCTTCCCTGTTCTAGAAGAACCTCTTAAGAGGCTTCTTGCGCTTGCTTACATAAATGTAATCGTGTTGGGCCCATTGTTCTGTAAAAGGATAAATCATCGAATAGCAGAGTCCTTGCTCAGAGACGAGTCACTCACAGCCACTCTTAGTCACATGAAGGTGGGACAAGTGGGCCTTTGTCCTGAGAGAAGTCGCAGCAGGGTTTTTTGTTCCCCCGCCGCACTCCCGTTACTGTAAAACCTTCTCTCATCCTTCCTGTGCAGATCTGAAGGCCCTGGAATTGGAGGTCCTGTTTTCCAGAGAACCCGGTGCCCCCAGGGAGGAAAGTATTAAAGTGCAAATCCTTGCTCTCTGAGGTTCAGGTTAGGAGTTTACCCCAGGGTGGCGTGACTCCTGGGGGAGGCCGTAAAGTTCCCAATAGACTACAGATCAACTGGTGCTCCTGGACCTTGCTAGCTAGCTTCACCAGCGCCAGCATCCTCCTTAAGTGGAAGGAACCAGCAGGGGCCAAATGCTGGCATCAGTGCTGAGTCTACTACATGACCAGCTTGACACAGAGTAGGGGCGTGTGTGTGTGTATGTGTGTGTGCGCGTGTGTGTGCATGTGCAAAAGACTTGATTGATAATTGCTGTAAACCAATGGTGTCCTAAAACTGGCACACAAGTGCTTGCAAAAACTGTTAACTTCATAAGAATGTTGCAAGTGGTTATTAAATACAACTTTTATTAAATATTAAATTATGTAAACTTTCAATTAAACAATGATATGAAAAACAATGGTAATGAATGTTCAAATATCACTTACTCCTTATTTTGCTACATTTTATTATTATCTCTCCTCTTGGGGTTATTTACATTTATTGTAGCTGTAAGATGGAAATTTTATATTTAACAGTGAGGCATTGTGCATCCCCAACTCAGCATTCTGTGATGTCATATTGGTAGCTTGGAATCAGCCATAGGTGAGCGTATTTACACCATGGGAATTGACAAACCATTCATCTGAGTATCTCTCCTATCCCCCCCACCAGTCCCCAGGAATGCAGTTTTTAAACATTCAGCTGCACACCCAATCAACCGTAACCCCTAAGCCTTGTTAATTCAATTCTTACTGGATAAGGCAGTTGAGGGTGTGAGGATCTCATGGCTGAAACACCAAGAGTCACCCTGAAGCTCTGGAACCCGAGACACAGGCATTATCTCTAACTCTCCAGGCTTGAGTAATTCTGGAACTGCTTCAACCTCCTGAAATTCTTAGGTTCTGCCAAAAAGTCTCGACCACTATGGAGTTTCTGATTCAACTTTCCTCCCTGCAACAGTCTAAGTCACCTTGTGGTAGCATTGCTCCCTAGCCTGATTTTCTACTGTCAAGTGTTCATGAGATGCCACCTTGGAAGAAGGAACAGGAAGAGAAATGCCATCCTTTCCTCTGCTCATTTGGTTGTGAGTGTCCATTTTTGAGCATAGCGTGCTGAGGGGGATGGGAGGTGCTGCTGCGAAGCCTAGCACTGGTGGCTGTTCAGCAGGAGGGGACTTTGCACAACCGCCATCTTTCAAACATGACCCATATTGGCCAACTCACCGGCCAGCATCTCTCTGTCCAGTAAGCATATTGAGTGGCCCTGGCTGAACTGGATACTTGATTATACTCTGGGATCCTTGAACATGAGATAGTGGCTACAGATTTGGAAGGGGGAAGCTGATTTCTCCCTTTAGATGTCCTCCTATTACCTTTATTATTTTTTTAATAGATTTATTTATTTATTTATTTATACAAGAACTGGGGTATAGTCCAGATGCGAGGGAGGGTGAGAGGATTCACCAGAGACAAAGTGGGGAACAGAACAGGCAGACTGACGAAATAAACTGCTGAGGGGAGCAGCGGGTGAGACAGGAGAGGTCTGCCGCGCCATGTGGGACCCTCCCCGGCCGGCTGGGATGGAACTAGCACTGCAGAGGCTGCGGACAGCTTCACAGCACAGTGTTCAACCGCCTGTGCCACCAGGGGAGGCCCCTGCTATTACCTCTATATGGGATTCTGAATGATGACCCTTAAGAACCAAACTGGGCACGTTATTGGCAACTCAGACTGGGTAGGGAGACTTCTACTTAATAGGAAGGGAGGAAAGAGGAAGAGAGAGAGAGGGCAGGAGGGAAGGAAAAATTAGGGCATTAGGAAGAAGTGCCGTATATTCCCTGCACACTGCTCCATTGACAGCTTTCTCCATTTTGATTAAAAGTATCTTCATTTACCAACGTCTTAAATCTTGGTGTCACTTGGTATCATCTTTGATTTTTCTCTTTCTCTCCCATCCCAAATTCAGTCCATCATCACCTACTTTCCAAAAAAAAAAAAAAAAAAAGGAGAGAATTCATCCTCTTCCTTACCATTCACCATCTGGATCTGCACCCCCAGATCCCTGTCACCATTACCTCTCTCCTGCAGGGTCACAGAAGCTCCTGACTACTCCGTTTCTGCCTCCCTCTTCTCTGTTTTGAACACAGCAACCAGAGTGATCCTGTTCAATCATAAACCAAATGACCTCACTCCTCAGCTCAAAGTCTTTCTGTAGCTCCCCTCTTGTCCAGAATGAAGACCAAAGTCCTTCCCCTGACTGGCAAGACCCTGCTGAGCTGCATCTCCATCTTCTTTAACCTCATATCCTCTTGCTCTGCCCCAGCTCAGTCCAGTGCCAGGGCTCTGCTCCCCTGGCCACTTTTACAAGGTACCCACTTGACTAACTCCCCACTGTTCTTAGTCCTTCACTCAAAAATTAGCTTCTTGGAGAACCTTCTGGCTACCCCAGCCAGGACTTCTCTATCCCTCATACTTCACACTCCCCTCTTCTACTTCATTTTCTTCCCTTGGCTTCTATTGCTGTCTGTAATTTCTCTTTTTTATTGGCTCTCCTCCAGGCACATGGGTTCACGAGGGCACATTTTTTAAATTATTTTTGTTCACTGTCCAGATTCTAGAGCCTAGCTCCTGTAAATGCTCATTTCAATTCTCTGTTGTTACATCATAAACAATCCTCAATGACTTCACACAACAGCCCATTACAATCTCACAGCCTCCTGGGTTGACTGGGCTCAGCTGGATGGTTCTTCGTTGGGAATCTTTCATTTGCAGTCAAATGGCAGCTGGGATTGAAGTCACTGCTGGCTGGGAGTTTAGTTGGGTCTGTGGTCTGGAGTTGCCTGCACATGGATGATCCAAGTTCGTTGGGGGAGACGTCTTTGAGGATTAGCTACCACAAGATTCAATAAAGAGTTGTGGGTGGACGGCAGGCAGGAAGGGAGGGGAGGTGGTAGAAGGGAAGGACTTGGAAAATTGAGAAAGAAAAATATCAGGAAGGGAAAGAGATCAGAAGGAAGGGAGGCTATAGCAAGAAAGGGAACTCAATTTCCATTTCTGCATCTGAGGATCATATGCTGGCTCTGGAATAAAACCCATCCTTTTCCTGCCTCATGCGCCTCTCCCATCTCCTTCATGTTGACCTGGCTTGGAAGCAGAAATTCATCTAACACCGCATATCGGAACTGGAGTACTCTTGGCAGAATCTTTTACAGCTTATACCCCAAGTTCAAATTTGAGCCAGGGCATATTTCCAAGGGAAGAACAACACGCCACTTTATCTTGATGTAGCTCTTTCCTCTTGGTAATTTCAAAGCCGTTTATAAACAAGCACTATCATTGTATGAGACAGGAAACGGAAGGGAACTAGTAATATTTAGGTAACCAATAGCAAAATCATAGAATCAGTGTTAGGCCCAGGTGATTAAGTAATGATGTGGAATGAGAGGCAGGCTTCAGTGGCATCAAATTAATTAAATAATTCGGAAGAAAGAGAATACAAAAATGTCCACCTAAAAACTGAAGTCAGTGGAGAGATACAGAGTTAAAAAGTAAAAAATAGATTTATCCTAAACCAGATGGAACAAAATTTAAACAGTTGTTGGTATATTAAGAATGGATTTACTTATAAAACAGTTTGGAATGCTTTAGTCATTTTCCAGAGCCACAGATATCCTGTGCCAGTGGGCAATTTTTCCTAAACCAACCTGGCAGACAGCTGTCTAATAAGGGGACTTGCAAACCATTTCCCTGGCTATAACCCAGGCAAGTTAATGAATCTGGGCTCCAAAAGCTCTCACGTCTCCATACAGAAGCTACTAAAGTTTTCTGGAGATATTGGTCATGGTGTCAATTCACTAGAGAAAGTGAATTTCCGGAGAGTCCTCTAACTTAGGTTTCATAGGACAAAGTGACATCATGTTTACTTCAATTCATGGCCACTCTGAACAATTTGTGGTCTTTGACCTCTAAAATAAGCTCATTTTAGGAAAATTGGGTTAACTCAAGAAAGAAATGTCTCATATATTAGGATTAGGTTTGGCAACGGGATGTTAAATTCTCCTTACCTTTGTCACCTACCAAACAACCCCTTCTCCTCCTCCAAAAAAATCCAATAACTTAAATAACATATTATATAAACCTGGATAAGTGGTTAACAAATTGTAAAGGGTTCCAGAGCATCATGGGCTTAGATTCCTTTTCCTTCATTTTCTGCCTTGTATATTCTCTAGTTCCCAAAACATGTCATGGCCCAAAATAGCTGCTTTAGCTCCAGCCCTCACATCCTCATTCCAGGCAGGAGAAAGAAGAAAAAGGCAAAGAAAAGGGAATCCCTGTGTCCTTTAATAACACTGGCTAAAAGTTGCTAAATTGCTACTTACATCTAATTTATGAGACCTGAATCATCTGACCTTACCTGGTTGGGTGGGAGTTGAAAAGACTGGTGAGATGATAAGGTTTCCAATACTGTGGGATAGAGGAAAACAAATGTCTTGAGGGTAATTAGGAAGTCTGTGCCACAGTTTACTCCTTTGACTTCCCAAAAATATATGTACCCATTTTCCCACACATAAGACGAGCTGCCTCCCAAAGAAAAAGAACTCCAAAACCTTTCTTTTCAAGCTGGACTGCCCCCAGCGCTCAATCAAGATCTCTTGTTGAAGTGTTTGAGTCTAGATGTGATGTTACACAGTCTTGCAAACCACAAATGAAAAGTCTTGCTATCTGCTCCCTGCGGCATAACGTATACAGTTATGGCTTAAGATTAGGAAAGCCACAATTAAATCTACCATTCAGAAAATGTGAAACCCCCAGAAGTCAGTCTATAGCAATTAGCAAATCCTGCTGAGTCAGAATGGAGGAGACTGTTTTCTCACACAGAAGCGGTCAGCCGATGGCCTCTGGGCAGTTCCTCTGTGTCCATTAACCCCCACGGCTGTGGTGAAGGCAGGAAGGAGCAAGTATGCCCTTTGGGGGTTGCGCAGTGTCCATTGGCTGTTTCCTGCTGATGCAGATTTGGAGACATATGGGTCGCTTTAGACATTGAATAGTCACAGGCTTCTGCAGGGCAGACTTATGGTTTCTTTGGCAATGAAATTCCTTGGGCATCCATTTGCCTTCTCTCAGTTCCATTCATGAATAACAACAGCCAAAGATCTTGTCTAAAATTAGTTTTTAAGCTTGAAGATTTAGGGCTTTTACTTATAGAACTTTGTCCTCTGTCCAATGCTCCTCCCAACTCCCTCACCCCTGCAATTGAGGGCAGTTAGTTGAAGCTATCATAGGAAACACTATATTTTGTTGTTTTTTAAAATTATTTTATGTATTTTTTACATCATTTTTTCACTTTTATGCAATATATGCATTTTCATCTCAGTTATAGTCCCCGTGAATTCCCACCACCCATTCACCTGTGCATCATCACCATAGTCCCTTGTGCTCCTCCCTGCCCTGTTCTGATCCTACTCCTTTCTCCCCCGCTGCAGAATGTCTCTGGTTTCTGGTTGCCTCTTGATTTTTATTTTTACTTTATTATAATTACTTTTTTCTCCCTGATCCCTTTTTTGAATCCTCTACATTCCTCCTATAAGTGAAACCATCCGCTATTTTTCTTTTTCTTTCTGGCTTATTTCACTGAGCATGATCCCTTCCAGCGCCATCCATGTTGCTGCAAATGGTATGAGTTTATCTTTTTTGATTGTTGTAATACTCCATTGTGTATATGTACCACGTCTTCTTGATCCAGTCATCTATTTTTGGGCATTGAAAACACTAAATTTTGGAAGGAAACATCTCTAACTTGGTATTAGCAATTAAGATAGCACCCAATGTCTCACAGAGAAATTTTAATGGCTCTTACCTGAGTGGAACTTATGGCAAATTTAGAGCTTCTGCCTATGATATATCATTTTTTTGGGGGGTGGGGAGGTGATTCAGAATGTTCCTTTTTACTTTCAAGTTCCCAAACCATTAGACCACTAGTCACTTTAGAAGGCAGACAAAAGGCAGAGACCATATTCTTTACCATTTTCTTCACATCTTAAAAATATGGTAGATTTAGCTTAAGTTTCTTGCTCTTGCTACTGCTCAAGGATTTTTAGAATTCTGTAATGATGATAACCATCCCCCCAAATCCTCGTATCAATTTTAGGCTTTAGCTAAGATAGGCAAAATCGCTACCAGAAGCAGGCCGAATAATTTCATCAGGTTAATCCAAACGACATGTATTTTCCTTTCATGCAACAGTCCAGAAGATGTGTGCAGAGATTCCAAATCCCACCCATCCTGAGCCTGGGTCCTCCTAACACAGCAGCCACACAAGTGAAGCATTGCCGGTGGGTCCACCTCCATCTGCACGAAGGAAGGTAATTTTACTAGGTAATCAAAACTCAAGAGTTTTCAACCAGCAGAGTGCTGTGTGTGCGGCAGCAGGACTTCTGTATGAGAGAATGTCCACTTTCTAATTGCGAGATTGGCTTCCCTCAAACTCCTAGTCTGGGAGCCACTGGGCGCTTTGTACAACCTGCATTTGAAAACCCCACACTCCCATTTTTTATTACCCATGAGATTTTGGGCAAATAACTTTTCTGAACTTACATTATCCTACTTGTAAAATGCAGATTTAAAAACCTACCTACTTGTTGTGTAGATGTGTAACCCTATCCCAGCAGCATCTGGGAGCTGAGTCTTGCCAGACCTGAGTATAGGCTGGTCTGGGCTTTTCCCCTTTGGTATCTGTCTCTGGGATTAAAAATGAATCAATCATGTGTGAGCTAAATGGGCCAATCAGGTTCAAGCCCACTCCACTAGTCAATTATTTGGATTGAAAAATGGAAAACAAGCTGATTAGTACTAAGTGGTCCAACTAGAAACTTAGGGTTGAAAACCATCCAATCAGGCTTGTAGGGTGGGGGGGCCCTGAAGGGGATGTAAGGCAGAACAAGAGCCTGCTCAAGGGAGTCTCCAGTCAGCCTTTGAAGAGAGAAGTATTCATTCTCAGCCCACCTTTGAAGAAGAAGCATTCATCAGCCCACCTTCGAAGAAGGAGTCTGTTCCCAGCCTCTGAAGAGAGAGACACATGGAGCAGTCCATGACCATGGGATTCTCCAGACCTCTGCAGACCTTTGTAGACCTTGTAGACCTTCGTAGACCTTTGGAGGCTACTAAACCCCCAGATCTCTGCAGAACTTTGCAGAAACTTAGCCACTGCACCTGCCTCTGACACGGCCTGAAAAGAGCACTGTGGGGCTCGGCCCAGCATCTCAAAGAGCTGACCCAGCCTCTGGGTCTCTGGCACGACCTCCTGGTGCTGTTGGGTCTGTCGTCGTCTGGTTCAGCCTCCGGCCCAGACTTGAGACTGCTGTTGCATCATCTCACCTTCCACGCACGGCCTTTGTTTGGGAGTTCTGGGCACTGTGCACATTATCTGGGGTGAGATATTTGGCCACTTGTGTCCTCAAAGAATCTTTCCTCTTCCCAATCTCTTGTTTGTTAAATAAACCCCGTTGCTGGGCCCGGAGCCTGAGCGGTCTTGCAATTGTGCCTGGGGGTGAGTGATGTGAGCTCTACCTCAGGTGCTGCTCCTTCGTTCTTTTTGAACACTGAGTCCTGTTGAGCACTCTTTTAAGAGTCTTTTGCACTGTTCCAGAAGTATTATTACATATAATGTTTGGCATCTAGTATATACATAACATACATAATGTTATATATAAATGTTGGCATTTAGTATGTGTTTAATAAATGGTGGCTATACTTACTTGAGGATGTTAGAACTTGGGTTTTGGTTGGGCAGACCTAGGTATGGTTCCTCATTCTGCCCTTTGCTAGCTGGCACTAAGGACAAACCCTCCTTGTCAGTTTCCTCATCAATTAAATGGGACTCCTAAGAGCTATCACACACTATGCTTGATGATTAGACACAAAAGGACAATTAGAATCTAGCATAGCAACTAGCTTATTAGTCATTCACTATGTCTTCACTTTTTAAACTTTATGTTCTTTCTGATTAACATAGCAATGCTGCTCAATTAAGTTTGGAAAATGCAAAAGCTTAGAAAGGAGAAAAAAATCGACCTAACTTCCACTACTCGGGGTGACACTGACGATGTTATAGTTTGATGATTTCATTTCAGCCTTCCCTTTTCTATTAGGCTATTATTTTTAAGGCTGTGGACTGCGGGGTACCCTTTGATTCTACACACAGGTAGTTCCCCACGCCGTTATGAAAGGGAAGCCAGAAGTCTCTACCAGTGTGAAAAGAACTCTCCCATTAGAAACAAAAAGGTCCACTTACTATATAGGGATTTCCAAGGGAAAGAAGGGCAGCTGTTCCTAAATTAGTCTAGGTTTGTGCCACCCTGGAAAGAGCCAAGCCCCAGGGAACAGGAGGCAGTGGGAGGGTGCAGGGAGGCGGCTGGTTCTGGGGCTACTGAGCAAGCTGGACCAATTCACAGTTTCGCCTCCCCTCCGGCTAGTCTGCGGGGGACACTGAGTGCTCCTCGCAGTGAATAGGGTATTCTAGTCACAGAGGGCTGTGAGATCTGGCAAAGAGCACAAGGCAAGAAATGCAGACAGAAACACTTAAAAATTGCAGCTTGCCACTGGGCAGAAATGAAATCCCAAACTCTGGATTAGCATATTCTGATCTACCCAGTTGAACTAGAACAAAGATCAAAAATTTTATTGGACAGCTAACAGTCAAGACTAATTTCTTCCTCAATGGACTGTGCAGAATTGGCACTCCAGGACTATATTTATAATAATCAGGGATAATCTAATAACAGAAAAACAGACCAGTTTGTCATTTTTAATTTCCATACCTCCCCTTACTATTACCCCTGCCTAGACATTTTGCAGTAGTCTTTAAAATGTAAATTTACCTGCGGCTATTCATCCTGCCTATTCTAATGCCTGTCAAAGGGAGATGAAAGAAAGCTGTACCCAGGCATCTGAGATCTTCCTCTCAATCAGTAAAATCTTCCGTGGAACCTTGCACTACTCAAGCAAGACAGATCTGAGCTGTTGATATGGCTACAAAATGTGACCTACTTTAAAACCCAGCAGTATGTGTGTGATGAAATGAAAGCGAATTGTTTTGCTGAAATCTGACACTAAAAATAGGGCACCGGATCCTTCCCCTGCTGGAAAAAAAAAAAAAAAAGAGAGACATTAAAATGAGTGTGTGTCTGTATGTCTGGGAATATGTCTCCATGGCAACCATTGTCCCACCTCCCCGATCAACAGCATTACCCCTCTCCACAGAAAGAGGTCAGATGAACAACGCCTTTCCCAGCACCCTCCCAATCCCTTACTCCATGAAATCTAATTAAAGAGTGAAATGAATTTTAGCGATGGTTCTAGAGGCTGGGAGAAGTCCAAAGTTGGTGGGGGCAGGGGCAGGCGGCTGAAGGAGCATCATTGCACGGAGGACAGAGGACTGGAGACCGGCCCTTCCACCCTGGAGCAGCAGCTGGAAAGTCTGTTCTCATTTTAAAAAGCGCTGGAGCTCCCACGCTGAGGAGCTGCAGGGGAGTGATAAAGCTGCCACGCACGACGTTATTACTTTAATGGATACGGGGCTGGTGGAGCACTTTCTTTCCACTAGGGCTTTCGCACGTGGTGTATTCTTCCCTTACACAACATTCCCTTTTCCTCAGACACCCCTCCCCCTTTATTAAGAACATTGTCCCCATTCCTAATCCCTCTTGGGTGAGGGGAAAGCCAGCATTCCTTGAGACAATAGGGCTGTTTCTAGAATGAGGTGTGTGAAACACAGTGCGAACACCCTTTTTTGGAGAGATTAGAAGTCAAAGAATAGGGGGAGACGGAAGGGTAGGGGTTGAGGAACACTCTCTGGGGAGCTTGGAGCTAATTTGTGCAAGCGCTTCAGGGTTTTTTTTTTTTTTAAGCATCTGCTGGGGATGGCCCTTCTTCCTTTCCACAGCTGCCTGCCTCCTGCCTCCCCTCCAACCCCCCCGCCTTGTGTCCAGTCAGCAGCAGCCAGGGGCACCCCCTCGCTCCCCCTTTCTTTCCCGTGGCTGTCTGGGCATCTGTTCTTCTTCCTGCTTCCAGAGTTTGTCTCCAGGTTGGGTGTCAGTCTGGCTGTGTGTCACTTGGGATCCCAGCTGGGGCAGAATTGTCCTCACGTGAAGACAGAGTCAGATCTGGGCTTGCCTCACTGGCAAGCGGAAGGCAGGTGGCAGGAAGGCCAGTGGGGACACCGAGGTGTGAGGGGCGAATCTGCCATGGCCCTCAGGCCGAGCACTGACACAGCGGTGAGGAGGAGGGACAGTGTGAAGAGCAGCACCACGGCTGACCCTCTGACTTGTCCCTGACCTGTTGGGACCAAGCGTGAATGGGCTGCACGCATACAAAAAGGGAAGGCCATGCTTTCCCAGAACAGGGTGGCAGAGCAGAGTGGCAGGCGTGTGCCCCTGGCACCCACAGGGATGGTGCTGGTTGTGACCTCTGCAGTAGCCCCTCCTCGCCTGCCAGCCCCACCCCAGCAGCAGGCGCGGCCCTGTCCTCGAAAGCAATAGCCACCTCTCCAGCTGGGCAACGGGCTCCAGCTAGTGTGTGTGTGTGTTGGGATGGGGGGCTGCAACTCATCAGCAAGGACCCCACACTTGCTAGAGTCAACCCCAAGATTCAGAAGCCAACTGGAATGTTTATTGGAATCAAAGAATTATAATTTGGGGATGCAGATTCAGGTAGAAAGCCCAGATAGTGTCATAAGGCGAAACAAAGTCAGGGATGTTTTTTACAGAGAGGGAAGGAAAGAGATGAGGTAAGTGGTTCAAGAAGAGTCAGTGTTAACAAGCTTGAGTATTCTTGGCTTGATATAGTTGATTACTGATGCTGTCCTCTGGCGAAAAGTCCATAATCATCAGTCCTCGTGGCCCGGATGGCTGCTCAAGCAATCGTACGCCTGATGATTTCTCGAAGCCGTTGCTGTGGCCAGGCCAAAGTCCTTTTGTCCGGTCCAAACAAGAGAAAAAAGGCAGCTTCTCTGTAATGGCTGCCCAGCTCTATTTAAAAAATGGCTCCACTTATGTCAACTTTTCATGCCAGATTCCCCTAAAACTCCCTGGAGAAGATCAGGGGAGACCCACAAGTATGGACGATGGTGAAGTCATTTTGCCCAGACTGATGTGGCTCATGTCATATGTCACATGCCCCACGTAATCATGAGAACTGATATTTACTGAGTGCTCCCTCTGGCCAGTTTTTCTGAGCACTAGACATGTACTAAAGAGCTCACTTAGATTTATAATCACCTGTGAAGTAGATGCCATTCTTACCTCCACTTGGCTGGCGCGATAAGATATGCTCAAGGTCATGTTGCTAGAAAGTGACCAAGTCGGGGTCTCAGCCCAGCTGCTTAGAAGCCAGAGCCCAAGCTCAGCCTGGCAGTGGGAGTGGCATTGGGAGGCAAAAGCACAAATCCCCAGTCCTATTCAATCATGTCTATTGATTTCAGAGTGCTGAGGGTTTTTTTGAACACCAATGTCATTATATAAATGACATCATTAAAAGCAGATCTAACTGAGAAAAAAAAGAAGGCAGTGCTGGGCTCAGCACTGTGTAACCCAGGTCACATGCACCTGTTTGTTCAGTTCATGCACTTACTTATTTCATGTCGTGAGCGTGCAATTCTGCATTCTGGTTTTTTTTTTTTTTTTTGGAAAAATAGAATATTAAATTACAAGGATATTTTCATTAGCTTATTTTCCTCTTTTCATTGCAACACAGCATTTCTTCGAGTTGATGTATCATCGTTGACTTAGCCAGTCCCCCATTTTGAACCTGGATTGTTTCCAGCTTGTTACCATGTTGAAAGCGAGACAAAAATCCTTTGCTCCTAGTTTCCCGCTTTATTGCAGGCTTTGACTGTGTCCTGAGAAGGAGAGCAGTTTAACCTGTGCAGCTGGGGCTATTTTGATAACCTTTGGCCTGCACACCAGGCTTACGTAAAAGTTAAGCGTGTGAGCTGAAAGGATTTCATTAGGTGCTATGCTTTCCTGAAGGAGTCAGAAGGAATGAAAGAGCAAATGGAGTCACACTCAAAATATTGCTCCCAGCTTGCTATATATGGTGCATGTGACAGCGTCAAGTCGAGCAGGTGGCGCAGACTTGAACAAGCGACACTTTTACCTTGGTAACAGATGGTCTGCTGGTCAGAGAGCAAAAGGCCAGGGCTCCTTCAACGAACGGCACACAGGCATAGGATTCAAATGGGCAGCATGACCAGAGGCGCTGCCACTGCCCACTGTCAGGGGTCACCATGACATACGTGAATATGCAAGAGTTGTGAAGTCTTTCTCCTTGTTTAACCTCCACTATTTTATTTTCCTAGGTTTGGATGGAGACTTAAAACTCTGAATCACCATCAACTGCATTCCTGACGGCATCTGGGCTTAGTCCCTCTGGACTAGCTGGAAAATTTCAGAATCTAATGTATGTGTAGACCAGATGGGATTCAGCTTGAACACTCGTGAAAATGATCCATCTCTGCATATTTTAAGTGCTCAGCCCTGAGCATTGTGTCAGGCTAGAGAGGAGAGGCCTACAGCAAGGCAAAATTGAAGGAGACGTCATTTTCAGGGACTGTCCCTGCACTTGAATGACCCCAAGACTGACCCTTCCTTAAGCTTTGTGATCTGAGTACTCACTGTGCCACCTTACTCTCTACCTGCTGCTAAAGTCACAGCAAGACTCTGGCTTGATCAACAGCACCCTCCTCAATGCCCCTCCACATAGCTCTGAATAACTAGTTAAAGCTGTGTTACCAACATTGGCAGGTTAAAAAAAAGGGGGTAAAAAAGGGAGGGACTTCCTATCACATCCGGTGGCCAGTTTGAAAATGCCAGCCTGGACTTATTGGCAAACAAGAAGGACAAATCTTGGAAACCACAGGTGCAGGCCAGAGGTGCCTGGGGAGTGAGAGGAGTCACCAGAGACAGAGTGGGAAGCACAACAGGTGGATCTACTGAAAGACACTGCTGAGGGGAGCAGTGGGTGAGTCAGGAGAGGTCTGTTGCGCCATGTGGGTCAGCTCCCTGGCCGGGGATCGAACTTGTGCTGCAGTGGCTGCACATCACTTCATAGTGCTGACACTTCACCCCTTGTGCCACCAGGGAGGCCCTGGCACTTGTGTTTTTAAGCCTGCAGAGAATTAGTATTCAGCAGCTGCTCTTATTCGCATTGCTGAATACATATCACACAATATTATCAAGACATTCCTCTCCATGGAGAGTGGTATTGACCCCCCAGGTGACTCACAAGTTCCAACGCCAGCTGCCAGAGAAAGGGGTATCAAGATACGGCTGTTGAAACTGTAGTGCATGGTAACAGAGGAAGACAGACCGGATATGTTTTCAGACGGGATCGAGAAAAAGCTTTGACAGAAGGAGACGTGATTTTCCTTTATTGGAAGGGGTGCAGGGCTACAGATCTCAGTGTAATTTGTTCAGCGTATGGAGCAACGCACCAAGTATTCCAACCCCGAACAGCTGGGAAAGCAGAGAGACGTGAAAAATCGAGGAGGAACCAGGTGAATTCACGCTTGAATAATAGATTCTCTTGGTAACAAAACCGCAGAGAGAGCTGGGCGGGCCCAGTCTAGAGATAACAAGGCCCTCTTCTGTGAATCTCCACCAACTTCCACTTCTTGTTCGTGACCTTGACCTTGACTCCCCTGAGAGCACTCGAACAACTTCCCGTTGTCTGAGCTGGTGGCCTCCAGCGTGGGATGCGTGTGCACTGATCTAGGGAGGTGCAAAAAAAATATTAGAATTGTCTTTGCTCCTTTGGCCTCGGCCTCCATTTCCATTCATGGATAGGAGTTATAATGTATGCCATCTATTAATGCAGCGGTGAGAAGTATTCATTTCAACAAGGAATGCTCAAAAAAATGTACTAATGGCTTACATGATCAAAACCATTTGGAAGGGACTGTCTAAGTAAGAAGATGAAGCCCCTTAGCCTGATATTCAAAGTCTTTGCAAGTCACCTATTTGACCTCCGCTCCCACTATTTCACGCCTCACACCACTCACTGTGATAAAATGGATCTGCTCAACCAGAGACGCCTGGGTTGCTTTTTAAATTTATTTTTAATACTTTCTTGCTTCTGTGTCTTGGCTATGAGCAAATGAGGTCTCGTTGACTGGGCTACAGTGACCCTTCAACCACGTGACTAGCAAAAACCCCGGTCCTTTCTAGGATATCCCTTCCCAACTGTTCACAGTTCTCAGTGAAACACAGATACTACTGTCTGCCCGGGTATAATCAACTCTCAGGGACAAACGCAGCCACCCCTGCCCCCCCACTAGCTGCTGCTCCCATTGCTGGGTGGACCGGAGAGCATGGGCACCACTGGGGCCATTACTAGGTGTGCTCCCCACCAAGCCAGCCTGGTGATGAGAACTTGGCAATGCAAGGTCAAGAGGCAGAACGTGGGGATGCAGAAAATACTCCTTCCCTCTGGAGTTCAGAGTCAGAAACCTCCCAAAGCAAAACAGTGGGTGTTGAGGGTGCTGCATACATTCTGGGTTTGTGCACGATGGTGCCCAGAGGAGCAGTGACTCAAGCCTTCAATTTACCACCTTCCCCCAATGCACCCCCAGACAGATTGCCTTCTCCAAGCATGGCAGCCATAATATCTGCCATCCTCCGAGCTCTGCTGACCACATGACATTGACACTCCTCCCAACCAGTGTCGAGGTTGAAGTCCCCTCCAACGGGATGTGTCAGAAGGGGTGGGGTGTATCTCTGAGATCATAAAAATGCCAAGTACTTCTGCAGAGATGTCTCCAGATACGTCTGTCTTCATGATCTGAGACATCTACGCCAGAGGAGCTGTGCTGTGTGAGCAGGCTGCAAGGACTCATGGATACTCACTTTCCTCTTCTCTAAAATGGGTATAATATTAACGTTGGCTTCACGAGGGGTAAATAGGGCATTCCAGGCAAGTGCGTACTGCGGTGCCTGGCGTGGTGGTTAGTGGTTCTTCCTGTCACCACATTTAGTAAGTGACCAATGAGTATCTGGCAATTGATTAATCAAATTATCCTGTACACAGACTGAAAACAGGATGAAGATTCCATTCAAATCCAAAGGACTAGAAGGTTCTTCATGTCCTGGTTCTGTCAATGTCTCCAGCCTCAGGCCTTCCCTTTGCCAGCCGCCCTATGCCCCCCAGCCACATGCCCACACCCATGTGCTGCCTGTGTTCTTCTTTGCATTTCCCCTCACACTCTGCATTTGCTTGGCATTTCTCGCTTTCTGAAAGATTCCCTTCAACTCTTCATTGCTCTTTAATCTAGCTTCTGTTGGTTTTCAGTTCTCAGCCTCCAGGGCTCCAATTTGGAAGCCCCTTTGGACCCCAAGACTAGACAGTGTGCCCCAGTTTACTTCCTCTCCATACAGCAGCTCACCGAATGCCAACTCATGCTGATTTCTGCCTCCCCAGGCACTGGGAAGCTCCAGAGGGACGCGATTTCTGTCCTCTTGACCGTTGCATTCTCAATGGTTAAAAATATCTACCCAGTAATACTTACTTAAACACTTATTGAACAAAAGGCAGCTAAGGAGTAGTCACTCTAAGACATTAAAAATGGCTGCCTAATGTTCAGCACCATTACTTTAAAAAAAAAAAAAACAAAAACAAAACCCAAAACAGAGCTGTATAACACATTTTGAAACAATTTCCACCAAAACAGGTTCAAATAAAATCTTGGCACTTAATGGAGGAAGCTCCAGTTATCTGGAAAGATAATTTGCCTGCAATGCTTTAACAGAAGATGTTACATTAACAACCCTGCTCTCTAGCTTTGTCATTGGCTTCTCCAGCAGAGAGGCTCCTGGGAGCATGGGGGATGGGAAGAAGAGGCCACGTGAGCCCCGATGCCAGGCATAGGGCCCTCTGTGCTGAGCCGCGCGATGAATATTTGATGACAGACTTATGCTGAAAGGGGCCTTGATGACTGCCTGAAGATTGTGTGACTGGAAACGGAACTGTTTGGCCCCTAGGGAGTGGCCCACAAAGCGGCTGCCCCTGGCCAGGAGAAGGGGCGCAAGCACCTCTCCTGCGCCAGGGCCCTGGCCAGGTGTCCCGCTAAGCGCCTTTCCAGAAGACTCAGCCGCCCTGCCAAGCCCGAGCTCTCTGGCCTCACTGCACAGACTTTCTGGGTGGAACAAGGAAATATCTGCAATACTTTTTGTCCAAATGTGCTTAGCATAGCGCTCTGTGCTGTTCCTTTCCAGGGAAGGGCCACTCTGCTTAGCTGGGAAAACGCCCCAAATTTCCCTTGTGATTGGATCCACCAGGGAGGGACCTGCCGCGGTTGCTAAAGTAACCGAGGCCGCTTTCCTTTCCCACGGAAGGGATTCCGCAGCCTGAGCTCCACCTCGGAGCCTGGCGTGCCCTGGCCTGCACCTCTGTGGGCCTGGCATGCCAGAGGCCCAACACCGCACCATGGCCGTGACCCGCAGGGCTCTTGGGGCTCAGTCTCCTCGCCCCGCTGGGCAGGACGTGGCATGCTGTTCTGGGAGCTCCTGGCTTAATTTTTTCCTGCCACTTCCCAGGGTGACATGGCAGATGTGTGTCCTCACACCAGGGCTGGTTGGCTCCCCAGAGGAGCCACTGCTGGCGCGTCTGCCCAGGGAGGCCTCGGGCAGGTGATGCCAACGCGCCATCAGGTTTGGGAACAGTGTGAAGAGACACGAGGTCCGGGGCACCAGAGCTGCATGCGGCTCGGCGAGGGGGCGCCCACCCCAGGAGGCTGTCCCAGCAGCTTTGGGGGCGCCTCAAATCCGTTCTCAGTTCTCTCCGCGCAAATGGTGAATCCCTTACGTCGGGTTCCTGAGGCCTCTCTTCCACGCGCCTTGAGAGTTGGCATTTCTTCTGGTCAACAGCAACGCCTTCCTTACTTTTACAGATAACACACCATGTTCAAGCACTTTATCTCACGTGCACTCTCGTGCAGGGCTCAGGTAATTTTGATTGCCCTGTTGTGTAAACAAGCTCACCGCTCGCCAGCCCTCAGCCAAGCAGGGAAAGCAGAGGTCCTGACTCCAAGTTGCTGTTTATTCCTTCAGAACAAACGAGCTTTAGAAGATTAACAGAATCACCTGAATCGTGCTACTGCTGGCTTGCCGGCAATAAGCCTTAAAGTCTCTCCTGCTTATTTGGGGGACCCCAGGAGGACCAAACTGGTGACATCTTCTTTTCTGGTCCCCTTGCTTCCCTGGTGCCCTGCTGCTGCTGTCTGGGTGAGGATACTGGAGCTACGCTGGGGCTAGGATGGCCACTCTGGGGCCAGCATGGCCACGCTGGGTCAAGCCCTCCATTCCACGGGGAAGGAAGCCAGAAAACACCCCAACAGCCCCTACTGTTGCCCCAGGGTAAGTTGCGCCTCCACTAGAAAATAGGAGGTACTAACACCAGTTGGTGGGTCTGGCACTTTGGAATGACTCCTTTTCCAGTAAGTTTCTTCTTCCACAAAATGCCTCCTGCTCACCTCTCCCTTTAAGCCTCCAGCTATGTCTAGATGCACCTGAATCTCATTCAGAGCTGGATTAAGAAGGTTCAATCACATAATGGCCCAAGCATCAGATCACCACTATTTTTAGCTGGAAACGTTGCCAGTGAATTCAGGATGCTCCCTGGGTCATGTGCATATTGGCTTCTCTCCCCAAAACACACAGCATCCCTGAGTGGTAAATTTAAAAAAGCTCTGCCAGATTGACTTGTCTCTGTGGATTACACTCAGGTATGCCACATACATGTGCTTGATGCCGCCCTACCTGAAGCCAGAAGTCACAACTGGATGAATTCTGAACCCGAAGGGCAAGAGTGCTATTTACTGAAGCCAAGTAATCTAGTTCTTATGATTTAAATGCTGAACTCTTTCATATTCCTATCATGAAGTTGTCTTGTTTAGAGAATTATAAAAGAAAACTGAAGTGTGAACAAGAACATCAGAAAAGAGGAAAATATTTTGCCAAGTTTTTTGGGTCCCCAGACTCTGTTTTGGCCAATGGGTGTAAATTAACAAGAGAATCTGCTTTTATGTGCAAGTCTTATTAATAGAAGATCCATTTATTCCTGGAATCACCAAATAAGGATCGAACAAATATTTCAAAAATATTCATTTGGAAGGGGGATCAGCTCATAGCCTGCTGGGTGCTCATGATTTTGGTCTAGCTCTGATCCCGGCATGCAAATCAACTCAGACTCCTCCAAGTTCACTTGGCTTTGGTTTGCTCGTCTGTGAAATGAAAGCATGAAAGTGGAAGCTTAGCAAATGCTTGTTCACTGAGTACCTTCAAAATCTTTGGACAAAATCATTGGACAAAATCAAGTTCTTCCCTAAAAAGAAGTAGACAGCTCGGATTTAGAGATCTCTGCTATGCAAGGGTTTCTCCATGACAGCCCTGCTGTGGTAATGAGACCGGGTCTGAGGAAGGGGTAACTCTTTCAGCGAGTTGAGCCCCACCCAGACTGGAGTCCCCTGTTACAGCTCGTCTTCCTCTGCTGCTTACCTAACCTCCACCATTTGGGAGGAACGTTGTGGGGGATGCCACAGCCAGATTGAATGAGCAGAGGGGATGTATCAGAGGCTACTTAATTAGGGTCTCCTTTGGAGTGTTTGGACCCTGTGGAAAGCGTGTGTGACACACACATCCAAGCATGTGCTTATCATCCCCTGTACGAGCCCCTAACCCAGGGTTTCTCCAGTGGGAAAGTGCAGAGAGATTACTTTGGGATCGTACTAAAATGCAGATTATGATTAAATTGTTCTGGGCTGGGGTCTGTGAGTCTGCATTACCCCAGGTGATGGTGGTCCTCGGACCACACTTTGAGTAGTGAGGCTTTTACCCCACATTCTCCCACTGATGCTGGAGCACAGCATTCACAGTCTTAGAGCGTGGGATGGGGTGACTCTAGAGTCTGGAAGAGAGAACTATACAGCGCAGCGATGACATTACAGTGCTATGTTAATAAAAGTATAGAGAAATGAAATAGGTAGAGGGGATCGAGACTTAAGAAAAGGTTCAGCAAGAATGCATGGATTTCTAT